AATGTTCTCTCTGATATGTGGCTGCTAACACAATAAGGGGTGGGGATGGATTAGACAAAGAGGAATGAAGGTAAGGGAGGGGGGATGGGCACAAGAAAAACAGTAGAATGAATTGGACATAACTTTCCTATGTTCATTTATGAATACATGACCAGTGTAACTCCACATCATGGACAAACAAAAGAATAGGAAGTTATACTCCATGTATGTATAATATGTCAAAATATATTCTACTATCATCTATAACTGAAAATAACAAAAATTGTAAAAAGGGATGGGGTTTTTAGCCCAGTGGTAGAGCGCTTGCTTAGCACACATGAGGCACTGGGTTCGATCCTTGGCAACACATAAAAATAGATATTGTGTCCATCTACAACTAAAAAATATTTTTTTGAGAGAGAGAGAGAGAGAATTTTTTAATATTTATTTTTTAGTTTTTGGTGGACACAACATCTTTGTTGATATGTGGTGCTGAAGATCGAACCCTGGCCGCACGTATGCCAGACGAGCGCGCTACCGCCTGAGCCACATTCCTAGCCCTAAAAAATATTTTTATAAAAAAATTTTTAAGTCACTGCTAGAGAGACAGACCTGTTCATCTACTTCCTCTTCTATGGTAAAGTTTGTGTTCTTGTGGCAGGGAGAAATGGTAAAGTACTTCCACACACATGGTACCTGCTTATTCCCTTGTCTGTCTCATCACCCCCATTTTTCAGGTGAGACATGGCAGAGCCAGGGCTTCTGACCCCTGTCTGTGCCTTCCCTGATCCGTTCCAGTACCTCCTTCATTCCCCCAAAGGTTGTCTAATAGGTTCTGCCTTTCCTCAGCTCTTGTCACATCTGATTAGAAGACCAGTATGTTCTGGGCACAGAGACCCCAGATTTTACCTACAATTACACTGTCTTCTGCCCCTAGAATGGTAACTGGGGAATACGGAGATCTCAGGTATGTTGTTTCTGAGGCCAGAAAACGGCTGAGGACTCTCAGGTTTGGGCCTTCCTACTTCCTCCTCTTGCATTAATGCTTTTTTTGATTTTGCTTGGACCCAGATTTCTTTTCCCTGCCACCCCCAGCTCCAGGAGGCAAGAGCCTGTTTATTTTAATACCTGGTATGGCACTTGGGAAAGATGACACCTCCCCCGTTGTTACCCATTTCTATCTCCTGAACACTAATCCTAGAATCCCAATCTGCCCCCAGACATGCTATTAGCAACAAGGATGTTTCTTGAAAAGTTTCTGAGTTGGCTCTAAACTTGCCCTTTCAGATTCTCATGTAGCATTTGCCCTGCCATTCTCCATGCGGCCAACAAGGGAAAGACTAATTCGGGGGATTGGTTAGACCCAGATTCTCAGGTGGAGAAGTGGTTTTCAAGGATTTAATTTCCTGCAGCATTGTTTGGGGACAAGACTGCCATCTATCTCTAGGATCATTCCTCCTTTGGGAAGAGCCCCAACACTTTGAGCTGTGAGAACTCCACTCACCCCCTTCTCCAACTGTGTGGGTGTTGAGAGGATGAGGTTCAAGTCTAGCCTCATGTTTTCCCTCCCTGATTTCATTCATGTTCCACTTATAGTCAGAGGCCCCAAGATCTAGCCAATCAGCTTCTGAATGCCCCGTGGTGTCCTTGGCTATAATGGAGCGGGGGCAGAGGTGGACAGATTCAGGTCTTTGTCCTTTCTGTCCCACTTTATGCTGGGGCCTCATGTGGTGCAGATGGATCCATGGAACCTGATCAGCTGGTTCATCTGGCTTGCTCAGCTCAATCAGAGCCACCTGAGAGTCAAGGCCAGACAGACTCAGGGGAGGAGCCTCTCAAATGTCTTCACTAAAGTAACCCTAATGACAGAAAGAGAAGGAACAGGCCTCTGGGAGTGTATACCTAAAGTAACTCTCAGCAAACCAAAATGAATTCAATGCCTTAAATTCAGGCAAATTTGCCACTCTATGAAGATACTATTAGTTGTTTTTTGTTTTTTTTTTAATAAAAAAGTGACCTACCACTGAAAGCCAGTAAACTCCATAATTAACCCATGGCTTTGTGTTTCTCCTAATATAAGCTGAGATGTTTCTGAGAAGGCTGACCCAGAGGTCAGAGTGCAAGCATTGCTCAGTTTCTTATTTCTAGCCCCCCTTGAGCTGAAATGGAACTATGTTCTAGGTGAATAACATGAAACCTGGGATCCTCAGGCAGGAGAAGGATTAACAATTTTAAGATTTTCAGATACCACAGGAGACAGACAGTGCCCTAGACAATTTAATCAAATTAAAAGGCTCCCAGTGACCCCAACATGATCCTGGTGGGGGACAGTAACATCTGATTTCTTTCCATCTCTCTACCCCTGATAAAGTAGAATTCTGCTTTGGGAGGAGGCACTATCCTTCCCAGCCCTATTCTTGCTTTCAGTTACTGCCCCAGGCTTTTTCCTCCTACCCACATCCAAGACCTCTAGAAGCCAACCTAGAACAAATGGAAACACTTTTCAGGGTGTTGCCCCCTTCCCTAGAATGGCTATATATCTCTAAAAAGACAAGAAACAGTAAGGCCACACACTGAGACTCGATGTTCTCTTGCCAGGCATTGTGTTAAGATTCTACACACCAAAGTCATATCCTGTCAACAACTAATAACATCTTTATTTCATAAAAAGCAAAAGTTACTTGTCTCAGTCACACTGTGACAGACCCAGAAGTTAAATCCACCTTTGTCTGATTCTGAAGCCCAGCCTCATGCTTTGTGCCTAGACAGAAGCTAGGAGCAATTGGAAAGGTGTCCAAAATACAGAACCCAAAAGGAGGAAGAAAACTGGGAGAGCTGGGGCCCATAGTTATGGAAAGTCATGGTGGAAAATGCAGGGCCCCAAGGGTGAAAATACTTGGCAGATCTCTCAGACCATCTCTCTCCTTGCCCTAATGGCATAAAAAATGCAACCTGACCATGCTACCCTGCTCCAAAGTCCTCTGTGCTTTCTCCTTCAGCACAGGGCTATTATCTGAACTCATCCTGGCACTAGGGAACTTTGGGACTTCACCCTAACCAACTTCTCAGCCTCTTTTCTCACCATACTTCCTGGGCTTCTTGGACTGATTCCTCAAACCTCTATAATTGCTTCTGACTTCTCTTGTCTGCAAGTCCTCTTCTATAACACCCCTTCTTCCCGTTCTCCAAGTCCACTTCTTTTAAAGGTTGCTTCCTTGAAGGCTGCCTCCTCTGAAGCCTCCACTGACTCCACTAAGGAGTTGGATTACTGTCTCTGCCCTCCCCCAGCACCTTGTCTTGACACACTGCACACCTTCTAGTGGCTTGTCTGCTTTTGGCCTTCCCACTGGACTGTGAGCCCTATGCCAAACCCAGCAGCTACCCAGCCAGAGACTCATTTGTTTCCCACATTTTGCAGATAAGTAAGTTACTCTGCTGCCCTCATCCACTGCGATCTCATCTGCAAAACAGGGGAACAGAATCTACCTCAAAGAACGTTGTGGGGATTAAATTTGAGTATTCAGGCAAAGCTCCTAGCACATTTATTGTCTGGGACAATAAATGTTAGCTATTGGTGATGAAATGATGTTGATGATGATTGTTTTACAATAAAAACATAGGTCATTTTGCCCTCAACCCTGGCAAATGCTCCAGACTGAAGAGGAAAGGGACACAGCAGTTTTCATTCGGGAGTGGAGGTCACACATTGGCAGGCGATCAGCTTTGCTTTGCGCTAGCCTGGTCTGCCTCTAATTGCCGCAGGGAAGGAGGAGAGTGACCACCCTTTGCTCAGACCTCTTTGGGGGTGGAGGAGAAAAGCCTGGACGCGACTAGTCCCCAGTGCGGGGCACACACTGGGCTCCTGCAAGTAACGGATCGAGTGGACTGGTAAAGGTCAGAAGGACAGAACTGGGGAGGTGGGTGACCGGGAACTTGAGGTGGGGTTAGGAGAGGATGCGAGGATCTGAGAGCAGGAGTTGGAACGCAGCCAGACTTCAGAGTCTCTCCCGTCCCCTTTTCCCACTCCAGGTTCAAGCTAAATTCTCGTAGGGAGAGTCTCGAGGGAGGTGAAGGTCGAGGCTAGGGGTTAAGGAAGCGGTCGGGGCTGCCGAGGAATCCGTCGGGCTCAGGGACCCAGCGGAA